CCTGCTGCATGATGAACAGTGGATTGTGATACCTTCACCCTGCACTGTGGAGGTCGTTGGTGATGTCACTTCCTGATGTTCTGGGGGTTTTCTTCACAGCTCTCATGATATTTCTGTCATCAACTACTGTTGTTTTCCTTGGCCGACCTGTTCGACGTCTGTTGCTCAGTACACCAGTAGTTTCTTTCTTTTTCAGGACATTCCAAATTACTGTGCTTGCTATATACAATGTTTGTCCAATGGCTCTGGTCGATTTTCCTTCTTTCCTCAGCTTGACAATGGCTTGCTTTTCTCCCATAGACAGCTCTCTGGTCTTCATGTTGGTTTTTCCTCTTAACAGGAAATGCAGTCTTTATAGGTTTGAACTAAGGATGAAAACTTCGACTAGTCATGCGGAGCTATTTAAAACACCTCGGCAACAAGAACCATGTCTGTCATGTTTGCTCACTTGAAAAATGGGTGGGTTCAAACAAACGGTGATATGTCCTGAGTTGTTTAACACATCTAGATGTGAATACCATGAAATGAGAGCTGAAATTCTGAACTCTTGTCTCATACTCATCTTTTAATCTTAAACCCAAATGTCTTCAGTGAACAACAAAAACAAAGGAATTTGCCTTACCGTTCCAATACTTTTGGAGGGGACTGTACATTTAGCTGTGCTCACACTGCTGAGCCTCCAGGGAAAGATACACAATTAGTTACGTTACTGAAAAGCAGCAGGCGAGCTAACGCCGATGTATCATGTCAGCTAAATGCAGTAAATGTAACGTTATCATGTAACAAGCATGAATTAGTTTAACCTCAAGCTGATAAAAATATTACTGTAACATTGCAGTGGGAGTTTACCTGAGTTTCCAGCATGTTGTGTGAAGCAGTCTCCCAGTCTGTCGATAGCCGCTGTCACACTGCCTTTTTTCCGGGACCATTGTGCAAATATGCGGCTGGCTGCGCTGAATGAAAGGTACAGTTGCCAGTATTGAGCTGCCTCTGAGCCGGGAACACTAAAGTAACAGAGCCTGAACATGTCTGGAGAAAAACCACAGTCGGCATGCCGGTGTTTCCGTGTTTATTGCAGGATTTGTGTATGAGAGTGGTTGTGTTTCGGATTATGCTTGCTCATGAGTTAAAGCGAGCACGCGTACACCTGGTTGCAACTACACCGCTAGTGGCTGCTGAAAACTACATATAGACCCTATAAGATGACTCTGAAATTACTTACTTTATAAAATGTAAGTGGGTGGAGCCTAGCGTGGACCTATCTGTTAGGCTACTCTCCTTTTCCATCTGTTTACAAGAGAATTTCAAATACTCAATATAAAATACGGTGCAAAATTAACAAAATGCAACATGAGTGAGCAGAAATAAAACCTAAATCAAATCAGTATTTGGTGTGACCACCCTTTGCCTTCAAAACAGAAGTTCTTCCACGTACACTTGCACAAAGGTTTTAAGGGAACTCGGCAGGTAGGTTGGCCCACCACTGCGTTTATGGTCCACAGCGTTGCCCGTTTCTTTGTGCTTCTTTAAAAGAGCTTTGACAGCACATCTGAAAACCCCTGTCTGCCTTTAAATGTCTGCCTGGGAGAGACTTGCTGATACAGTATAACTACCTTGTGTCTTGTTGCTGTGCTTACTCTTGTCATGGTGTATGACTTTGCAGTAAAGTGTCTTCAGCATCCTCACCTTTTTAGCTCAATTTGAATGTTCCTCCCCCAGTTATATTCCTCCTACACAGCTGTTTCTGTTTCGCTTAATGATTGTGTTTCAACATGTTCAATTTATTATCATTAGCAACTTTTTGGTATAATTCAGTTCATTTATTATTATCCCGAGTGGGAAACTTGACTTGCAGTCAGGGCATAAGATAAAACATACAAGGATCAGAATAAACACCACAAATACACAAATGATGCACACACTAAAATAAATGTAGCCAGTACATACAATACACTATAAACAGACCTACATTAAAAACCTAAAACAATCTTGTTTTTTTATGTTACCTGAGACGATTTAGCAGTTATTGCACAGGGATTGCAAAGGAGGTTTTGCTCCTATTACACTTGAATCGGGGAGCTCTAAATCTACGGCCTGAGGGAAGAGTTACAAACTCAGAATGAAGAGGATGGTTTTTGCAGTCTAGACTTACGGAGAACCTGCTGGTCAAAGATAGCAGTCAGGGGAGTCTGTGAAACACCTATAACCTCCCACCCACCTTCACAATATTGTTTAGGTGGTTTTTTGTCCCTAATGTTCAGGTTTCTATACCATGCAATCATAGTAAAAGTAAGAACAGATTCAATAAAAGACTTAATTGTCTTGTCAACATTGAAAACATTTAACTTCCTGAGGAAATACAAACGTTGCTGACCCTTCTTACAAATTGCATCAGAATTAGTATCAAATTTCAGATCACTATTAGTGATCGTTCCTAGATATTTATACTGTTGTACAAATTCAATACCAGCTCCTTTAATGAAGGTCTGAGATGGTGGTTTGGATGATTTCCTCCTAAAATCAACGTTCATATCTTTGGTCTTTGTAGTTTTTAATTGAAGAAGGTCTCATCACACCATTTAACAAACTGACCACCGGCCTGTGCTCAGATTCAGTTTTGTTAATCAGGCTGATCATCAGCAAATTTAAGGATATACCTGTCCTCGTGCTGGCAGTCATTGGTGTAGAGCAGGGGTTCTTAACCTTTCTGGCAATCCGACCCCTTTTTGAGGTTGAAAATATTTTGCGATCCAAAAGACAGCCAGAGGTGTGTCAGACCACTGCTTCAGGGCCACATCAGTGGTCAGATCAATCAATGACTCCTCTATTTCAAGAGCAAGTCCAGTTTGTTTTGCAGAGAAAGGATTCCTTATCCACTCATTTGCCGCACACACTGCCCCATTTTCTGGAAGATACTCCCGAAACTGTGTTGTCATTCCATCAAGATGAACCCGAATAAGCACACACAGGTCAGCCTTTGAAACCGCGCTGTCATTCAAACACTCATCTAGTGCAGAGAAAGCCTCAAAGTTCTCGTTATGCAGACGACTTTGTCACAGGCGTAGCTTTCCAATCCATGCTTCAATTTTTTGTGTGAGAGAAGACAGGTGCTGTTTTTCCTTGCAGTCCCGCATTCAAGTCGTTAAGACGTTTGAAAATGTCACCCAGATAGGCCAGCAGGGCGAGCCATTTTTCAGTGTGCTGCTAGTGGGTATTTTTTTCAAACAGAAATGCTCTCACCACATCTCGTAGCTCGTAAAGGCGACTCAGGACATTACCCCGTGACAGCCATCATACTTTGCTGTGTTACAATAGCTGATGGTTTTCTGCTCCCATCTCTTGACAGAAAATGTTGAAGAGCTGTGCACTTGTTCTTTCTTTAGTAACCCATGGCTTGTTATTTGGGTACACTTTGACATACTTTTCTGGAATGACAGTGTCTTCACAAAATGCAATGTAACTGCATACAGTCAATGAGTTCATCAATATCTGATGCAGAGTCTTTAAACACAGTCCAATCCATACAGTCGAAGCATCCCTGTAGTTTAGAGACAGCGTCTTCACTCCAGACCTTGATTTCTCTTGTTTTCACCTTTTATCTCTTAAGCAATGTTCTGTAGACAGGGGTAAGATAGATGGTACTGTGGAGGAGGAATCAAGGAGGGGCCTTGGAGAAGCCTTGTATGCTGCTTTTATAGAACCATAAAACAAGTCTAGAATCTTGTTTTTTGTCATTGTGCAGTTGACATACTGGTAAAGATTCAGTGATTTTTTTAAGTTTACAGTTATTAAAATCTCCCATTAGATTTACACAAACTCCCCCTCCTTGGGATTTCCCCATGGCGCTTGTGTCCCTGTCCAACCTGACAGGCGCACCAAGACCGTTGATGGTCAGATCCGAGTCGGTATCCTTTGACGTTAGCCATGTCTCGGGAAGCCCACAATGCAGGCATCTCTATATTCATGTAGATAGTTTGTGTTGCCGCTTGTCGGTCTTATTTCTTAGTCATTGAACATTTATTTGCAAGGATTATAGAGCGAAGCGAAATGCACCGCAGTTTGTAGCGTTTTAAGCCCTTATTTATTCATACACCTGATGATATGACTTTAGATCCCTGACTTTGTGCAAGTGTAGATTAGATCCTGTCCTGGAAGAACGGAAGCTGTTTAGAAGGAAAAGGGTGGTCACACCAAATATTTGATATATTTTATATACTATATGATATATATTACATTATATACATTTTTGAATAAGGTGGTGAAAAGAGGAAAAAAAACCATCCAACATCACCCACAGTTTCCATTCCATTGCTACAAGACGGCCACCTCTATCATCACATGGAATCCATTAAAGCTCATTTACAGTAATGTGGCACAGTAATCAATTACATGGAAAAGTAAACAATCCCTATTTACTTAAGTTGCAGGTGATCTTATCTAACCTGTCAAATGTAAGTAAAATGGATAAGCAAAGCCAACTTATAGAGATTCATTAAAACAAAGTACATATAAATTTTGTACTAAAAATTGTGTTCTCCTTGTTAGCATTTGAGAGACTTTCAAGGTTATGTGAGAAATAATTGATGAATCACATTACATAGTCCTCTATAGATCCTTCCTAAGAAATTTTTTCTAGGAATTCTTTAGGAAACTGCGCAACATGTTAAATAAAGTGTCTCCAAAAATGGTTCAACTGCTGTTGTTAGGACGTGAGCTTGTGACAGACTGATCCCTGGCCCAGCAAGAGAGTTTTGAGCTGGAAAATGAACGAGTCGGTTCAGCTTACTCCCTCAGCAGCCACTGCAGAAATGCAAGGCACTGCGCCCTCATCTCATGCAGTGCGCTGGTCAATGATGATAGGTCTTGTTTTCATATTCACATTAATTAACCACTTCTCAATGTATTGTGTTTTTCATAAAGTCCAGATCTTCTTAAAATGAATAGGATGATTTTGCAGTCATATTGAACCTGCCCATGTGTTTCTTGTCTGTCTGTTGCAGCGATCCAGGCCCTGCGCTCTGTGCTGAACTCTTTCTGCGTGGTCAACCGTAAGAACATGTTTGTCTACCAGGAGCGTACAACCAAATCAGTCTTCTACCTCAGGTTAGACTCTCATTGTTATTCTGTCTTTACTTTTCCCTTCTTCACTGGATTTCAAGTCACATTTTTATTTAAGGTGTATTTCTGCATTTTCGTCCCCAAATTCACAATATAAACCCTCCCTCACATGCTTTGGGAGGACTGTTTCAACACATGTCATCCTTAAACTTTATTCTCTGAGGGTGAAACTGGGTTTTGTGGAAAGGTTTCCAAGGCAGCAGTACAGTAGAAAGGAAATCAAACTTGCTGGAAATTCAGCTGCTGTCAAAAACGGCATTACAAGTAAACATGATTTTGTGGTGCCCCGAGCTAGATGGTGGAGCTTCCATATCGCGTTAACTCTGAGATTGGAAGGAGCACCTCTGTGTCCTCACAGTCCCTGCGTACACACTTCATTTCACAACTTCAATAAGACTTTGCTCCAAGTGATTCATCTTGGGAGTGAGCAGAAGAGGAAGCTAACTACACCGTACAGCTGGAAACATGTAACACAGCTAATCCTGTGACACTGTTCACCACTCTCAAGAGATGCATGGTGGGGCTGTTTCATAAAGCAACATTACAGTTCCACCAGGCTTTCTTTGCTAAATTGAGGAAAGTCTTTTAGGATATTGCCTTTCATAATGGAGTTCAGTCCCTTAGTACTGATGTGCTGAGGACAGAAGTCAAAGACAAGCTGCAGCATGCATCATGTTTATCACATTTTGACAAGGGCTGCATTTATTGCCAATTTAAATTGTAGAACTTAGACTTTATCAAAATCAAGTATCTCACACAATTTCCGTCCACATTTGTGCTTCCAAATGCACTTTTTTCAGCTTCACCACAATTAAAGCGAATAAATAAGTAGTGACACAACAGCCTGTTTAAATACCTTCAGCATGGTTGTCTGCCTCTCCTCTATTTGTAATAAAAACATGACTTTCGTTTTATTGACTAGATATTTAGATGACTATAGCTTATAGTAGTCAAAGTAGTTTCATCATTTGCTCAATGTAAATTTAATCTATAAGAAGTTGAAATGAAACAGATATTATTTTATTAAAAATACAAGAGGTGCAGACTGCCACTGTGAAGATATTTTCACCACATGAAGGCTGTTATGAGATGTGCAAAAGGAAAATGTTTTAGTCTGATCAGCTCTGAGAGGTGTCTTTATGATGTCAGTTTGATCCCAGTTTGTTAGCCCATTCAGGCCAGGCTCCTCACAGTAAGCCCTGCTTCTGTATGAAGTACCCCTCAGGAGTATTATCGTTGCTGTATAGCTTGTACACAGTAACAATCAAAGCCCTTATGAAACTGTGAACAAACATGGGACCTTATATTTAGTTGTGTCATGCTGCATGGGGTGGCTGTGGTTCAGGAGGTAGAGCGGGTTGGCCGTTAATCAGAAGGTCGGCGGTTCAATCCCAGCTCCCCCATACTGCATGTTGAAGTGTCCTTACTGAACCCCGAATTGCCCCTGGTGAATGTCAGTGCATGAATGTGTGTAAATGCAGATGTAGTGTAAAAGCGCTTTGAGTGGTCAAAGACTAGAAAGGTGCTATACAAGTACGGAGCATTTAGATTTATATTGCATTTGTTATCTAAGGTATCATCAGTTATTTTCTGACTAAGTGCTGGAATTTACTCCACGAACCTTTACCTACTTGGTAGGTAAGAGTGGCTTTCAGATAGAATATATGGAAATCACTGGGGAAGAACAAGATGAGAGAAACCCATGGGGTAGTCAGTTAAAGACATTTGATATAAATGTATAGGGAATTGTTCCCAGAATAAGTATATGACTATAACCAGCTCAGTCACAAAGATATTAATTCCCATACTTGTGTTCATCCTTTTAGACTTTGTGAAACATCACTAACAGGAAAATACTCCGATGTGGATGGAAACGTCCACATGACTCGCTCCATTGGGCTCGCCAGGAGTCAAGAGCCCTTGTTTTCTGAGGATGTTATGGTAAGTGAACAAATACACTGTTTGCACTGAAGGTTGGTTAAAATACAACTTATGGTTCTTATCAGAGCTGTAGACTTGAGACTTGGACTTCAGTCATACATGCGACTCAACTTGGACTCGTAGGCTCTGAGACATGACTTTAAATGAGGCTTGACTGTCTGAAGAAGAGGAAAACGGCTGAAGAGACTTCACTTCAGATTAATAAATATTCCAAACTGCTGGGCACAGATCACTGCCAAACATGCTTGAATAACTGATAATAGTAATGGAGATACATATACTAGTGTTTTCATAACCAAGCTGTTTTAGATGCATGTGCTCATGATCACAGTAGGAGACAAAAAACACCATTCAAATTAAATTTGCAGTTGAGACTTGACTTGGATTCAAAGACATAAAGTTACAGGAAACGTGATTAAGAATCAGTCTTTTGATATTTATTTATGTAGGAAAACACGTGATTTCAATCAGTGCCATCAGATCATCTTCATTTGTCCACAGCTTAAGCGCGTGTGAAACACTGTGCTGTATGTAGGCTAGTTATATGGATTAAACGGTGCTTTTTAGTAATTGAGTTATTCGAGTTTCTCGATGAATCCTTTCAGCCCTAAAATGTATGAATCGCTCACCCATTGCTGAGCTTCACAAAATTCCAACAAGAGCTGCGACACCACCTCCTGACCTGAAGAGTTTACAGCTCAGTTTGTTTTGTGTCCAGTTCTGCCTGAAGTTGGCGCTGCTCACAAATTCCCAAACCTTAACCACTTTGTCAACTGCAATAAGCATGGAGATTTTACGGTGAAAAAGCCTCTAAATGTACGGGTTTGATCTGTGATAGTTCTGCATGTCCAGGTCTCTGAGAAGCCAAGAAGTCTCCTTCAACTCTTATCAGACTAATGACTGTTGGTCACACATCAGAGGAGACGTCCAGGTGGAGCAGTGTTCCATATCTGGACCTGTTCTGTGTGATGAAACGGAGCCAAACAGGCTTAAAAGCCATCAGTTTTGTACCTTTGAAATAGGGCTGAACCATTAATCGTTTTCTAATCGAAATTGCGATTCGAAAGAACGCGATTAGCTAATGATGAACATGGCAATTAAAATGTAGGTTAATCATACAGCGCTTCTGACCCATTTTAAACAGTCATGTAGTCACAAATTCATTCTGTTGTCATCCCTGTGCGACAGATCTGCTGGCCAATCACAAGCAACATGCGCCAGCTGTTACGGTCCTACTCACCAATCACAGCGGGCACAGGGCGTGTACATTTTACAACAACAAATGAAACTAGAGGAAGCCGAACCAACACAGCTGCGTGCTGTGCTGCGTTTTTTGTCCGGCGTCAACTCAAACTGAAGTGTTTCAGCAGCGGAGCGTTTCGCCTACACATTGTTAACATGTTGTTAATTTGTCATTGTGTGTGCTTCAACTACAGATAACAGCTCTCTGTGAGCCCGTTCCGCTCTGTGCAGGACAGAATAAGAGCGTTTTGCCTGTCTGATTTTGCTGACTTGTTCAGATTTTGCGTATTTGTTCAGTTGTCCTCGATTTTGTGCTTCCTCTGTGGTAGAAGTAGTGTTACAGTATGTGGTCCATAAGGCAGGAACCCTGACATTTACCCTCCATCCATCTCAGATTCATTCTAGCAGGGGGTGATGGACAGTTTTTAAAGTACTCACATAAAGCAGCAAAGGTTATTCTAAATATGCAGCCACCATATTTCCAGGCCATCCTGCACCTGTGGAGCAGGCAGGAACTGGATTACTGTGCAAATGATGACTTGAAGCGCAGTCTGTAGAAATTAATTTTCCTGACTTGTCTGCAGAGGCAGAGAGAAAAAAAATACAGACACTTACAATTTTGACCTGCTCTTCTTATCTTCAATTAAATACAGTATAAAACAGTTTGTCAGGGAATAAGCAAGCAAGAATAGGGCAGGGGAAGGATTTTTGAATGTGTTATTATCTAGAATGAGGACGCCCTGCACAGAGATGAATCGAGGTCAGTCCGTGTAATGATTCTCGATGTGGATGGTTGTGTTGTCAGAGTGCTGGTGCCAATTTGATGACCTGTGATGTCTCTTTCCTTAGGGCTCCAGGTCTTCACTGGACGGCGCACGGCCAGTTGGACAGGTAGACAAGCACATCCTGCTGCTCGTGCATGGAGTGGGAAGCGCAGGTAAGAGCTGGGAAAGATCGAGGGCTGATAGTGATTTACATTTTTAAAATTAGCAAAAGTCACTAATGATAAAATGGTGGCATAGTAATAACAAATCCAACATTTAACAGAGGTTTTCACAGGCAGAAGGCAGCCTCACTTCAGATCAGGTGTGGCATATGAGCAGCAGAGAGTTAGTGGATCTGGAGGGAAGCCATGAATAGATTTATAGACAAGTACCAGTACTTAAAATCTATCTTAGTGAAGTGACTTAGAATGGGAGTAATGTTAGCTCATTTCTTTGTTCCAGTTAAAGCTCTGGCAGCAGCATTCTGTTGAAACTGTAAGTAGTTAAGCTAAAAAGTAACACAAGCATAAAGCAAAAAGCAAACTGACATGCTGTTCACAGAGAAATAGTCTATAATGTAAGATAATGGTCTGAACTTGTATAGCGCCTTTTTAGTCTTTTCCACCACTATAAGCACTTTATACTACATCCCATTCAGCCCGTTCACACACCCGCTGATGAGCAGAGGCTAAGATGCATACTGCTCAGAAATTAACTCATTCACACACATTCACACACCAATGGCTATGCCTTCAGGATCAGATAATCAAGGTCATCAGCAAAATGTAGGTCCGAGCCATGTTTCCAACCTCCAACCTGAATGTTGAGATCAGAGGATGCACTTACCAGTTGCCTTTTCCTTTACGAACAATTTTTCGGATAGAATATGTTGCTATATTAAACATCAGCATGTTAATGTTGTCACTGTGAACATGTTGCCATGCTAAGCATTGGCATTGCTTTGTGGTTGGTTTGATCTGTCCACTGGTAGATACCAGCAGGCATTGTCACCTTCCAAATTCATTCCAAATCCACTGGCCCAGTGGTGTGCCTCTTCATTCTTCCCACTTTGTCTTAGTAGTTCTCATTTAATGTGCAAGGATGGTTTTCTTCATGACATTATAGTCTCACAGAGCCATCAAAGTTTGTTTATTAATCGCTGAGGTGGCAGTTTGGATAAAATACAGCATTATGTGGATGAAATTTGTGTATATTTACTATCGCTCTGCATGTGAGATATTCAGACCATCACCGTCCGTCTGTGGACCATTTGAAAACAACCATTGCTCCGTCCCTGCTCTCTGAGGCTTAGGAAGAGAGACAGAGAGAGAGAAAGCAGAGCGAGACAGATCATGTCTAACTGGCAAAGCAGTAACTCCCTAAAGTCCTTCGGCTCATCGTGTTGCTTGTGGCATTATGGGATGAGGAATTTGGAGCTGGATGGCAACACAAATGAAGGTCTGAAGCAGCGCTCGGCAAGTGGACCGAGCTGCTGACTGACGCTGCTCCACTGCACTGACGGCGTGGACACAAGGGGGCGCTAACATCCCCCGCTGCTCAGCGAGTATGGCTTGGTCCCATGAGCAGGAATTGCCCCCTACTGATGCAAACAAGGGGTCCTGCAAAGTAGGTTTGTCACTACTGTGAGGGAATATCCATTCGATTGAAATAAGATAGAATGCTGAGATAAATGTGAAATAACACAAAATACATATAATAATACAATACAAAAACCTTGCATCGACATCTTAAGAATGGAGAAAAATAAGTTTACTTCTACACTTGAATTCCACAATGGGTCATAAATAAAATGTGAAACCATTAGCTCATGAAGCCAACAAAGTTCATTTCACACAAACCACAATTAAATTCTAACATTGGAATTGCGAGATTGTCATGCAATGACAATATGTGAATCCTACATTTAACAAAGCCTACCTGGTATAAAAATCAACAGCACACAATCAGTAACTGTGTGTTATGCAACTGCAACCATCAGATCTGTATGAACAGGAACAGAACAATTATTATCCAAAATAACTACTAAAAACATCACAGTCGGGAGCTAGCAAGCAGGTGTATGGCTAAGCAGCTAACGTTAGCTCAACGTACGACCGAAAGTGCTACTTATGAATAAAGTTAATATTTCTGCATGTACGTGTCAGTTACTTTTATATTACATGCTAGTAGCTTACAGTGCATAACAATGCATGTTACTGATAGTCATGAAACCAATTTTAAAACATTAAACATTGAATCACATGCTTGATCACAACATTGCTCGCGTGCACCCACCTCTAGCTTGGAAGTGTTTCCTTTGCTAGAGGCACGTGAGATACGTGAGAAAGAACCCCGTGTATGCAGTTGCGCTATTAACCCACCAGGTGGCTCCAAAACTACATAATGTAACACAAGCATATCAGTTTTGTAGAAATTCACAAGAGATTATTTCTAACTCTGTTACACGCATATTATGCTTAGTGGAGCCTCATGCTTCCTGACTGACTGAGCTGAAACTGTTGAAATGTGCTTATGGATTGGAATTAAACTGGGATCCTTAAAGTCCGGGCAAATGCTTGGATCTGGTCCAGACCTGACCACATCAGCTCTGTATGCCAATCACACATTTTGTGCACTGATTCCAGAGGAATAGTCTCCCACCAAGTGAAGCCACCGTGCACTCTAACTGAATGTGTGTAGTTTTGCGATGGGCTGTTGAATGTTTCAGTTTTGTTATATTAAGGATTTGACTATTTTATTTTGGTTTGGTTGCCTTTATTGTCCCCAACGGGCAGTTTGGTTTGCAACAGTAGTTGGTACACATCATAACCAAATAATAAATAGAAGACATAAGAACATATAACATACAATAGGTGTTATCAATTACAGTAAATCTACCATGAGATAAGAGCACTATGTATCCATAACTAATGTATTACAGTATCCTTTTTACAGATGGATTCAGTGTTTGCATCAAAAGTCAATTTATCTTCCAGGAGGGTGCCCAAGTACCTATAATGGCCATTTATAAAGATCTGTGCCATGACAGGGAGGGTTTCAGCGGAAGTCGATCAGCATCTCTTTAGTCTTTGAGACACTGAGTTTGCGTCATCTGTAAACTTTATTATGAACCTGGCAAAATCCAGCAGTGTTGCTGTGGCATCCTCCGCCTGGAGTGGGTCAGTTACACTCTGTGTCATGGCCAGTAAATTCCTTTTCACAATTCGTTAAAAACCTTTCATGACTGATGAGGTGAGCGCCACGGGGTGATAGTGATGAAACCTTGGCTACTGGGACTACCATGGATTCTTTCCATAACATGGGAACTTTATTCTGCGATAAGGAGAACTAGAAAATAAGTTAAAATTCTGCTCAAAAACATAGCACAGTGTTTAAGTAGTAAGCCACTGATGCAGTCAGGACCCTGACTTTTCCTCTCATAGTCTGTTCAAGAGTTCTCCAGACATCCCTTTCATCAATTTGAATCTGACTGCTTTCTGAAGCCACTCATTCAGCCAGTTATCACTAATTGTGGGAGTCAAATATCGTGAAAAACTGATTTAACTCCTCTGCCAGAATGGAGTTATGCTTATCCGTGTTAAACACTGCTTTTTACTTGTTCTTTTTCATATTCCCGACCATAGATTTGATTCCTCTCCAGGCACAGCGAGACCTACCATTCTTAAGTTCACCCTCTACCTTATTGCTTGCAAACGATGCACAAATGTAACGATAGTGGATGTTGCATCTACCATGTTGGCTCTAGGATGAATATAAAACACTGTCATAAATATTTGGGGGATTTCATGTGGTAGATAGAACAGGCGCAGTGAAATAGATCAAAGTTTCATGTTAGGACTACAAATAGATAGGACAATTTATTACCTGTTTTTTCTTGCTGTGCTCTGCTGCCATTGATGTGGACCTCAGCCAATTTAACAATCAAATGTGGGATCGTAAAAAGAGTTTGAGTACCTCCTGTGTATGGATGTACTGGAGCAGGCTGCTGTTCCTCCTGTTCCGCCTTGATGGCACTGTGTCCCTGTTGTAGCCAGGCTGGGATTACATCAGTGGTTTCTCAGAAGCACGACTCATTAATATCATGGTGTGTTCCCTCCCTTCGCTGTGCTTTGAACTCACTGTCTTTACATGCAGCATCACTGGACAGCTGTGTTGAAACCCTTTTTAAAAGTATTTTAAAAAGTGAAAAGACATTTCAGAGAGAACATCTTTACTGCTCGCTTCCTTTTTCTGCATCTGTTCTACAAAATGGATTTGAAGGTAATGGGCAAATGGCATGGAACGTCTACATTCTGATGAAAAGCTTCACAAAGATTAGTTTGAAAGTTCATTCTTGACCTTAGAATTCAAAGTCAAGAGTTTGATAAACAAATCTTAACTCAAGATGTACTTACTAGCTTTTTTCCAGAGCTGTTAAATGTGACCAGATTCCACACAAAACATCATTGCACTCCTTGGCACATCTGGCCAGGAGCTTTATGAAGTGGGCATGGACTGTTGGATTGTCTGTTTCTGATTCTGCCATTGAGCAAAGGTGTTTCAGATGCTTTTAGAAAATTCAACAAACACTGTGAAGCATACCAAGACCTTTAATCACCAGACTTCAATCACATTTGAAATGCAATAGCCGGAACATTTGTGTATTTCCAACATGAGGATAATACAGAAATGTCTTTTCAATTTTTGTTCAGGCCCAGAGATCACAGACGAGCTGGTCAAGGTGCTGCGCAAGCGCCTGGATGAGACCACCTTGGACATCATCACTGTCATGCTTGTCAGGAACTGCAAGCTGACCCCAGCTGATGTGGAAGTAAATGACTCCTTTTTTATAGAAGCCAAATGTTTGCAGTGTTTGTTTCTGTGTATATGTGGCTGGTCTGCAGTTCTGTGTACATGGACCTGTTAGTTCAGTGAGTAAATTGCTTACACTTCCATAATTATGGGTTTTATTCCCACAGGGGCAAACAGAAAACACTCTGCACTCACACCATTGAAAATTGCTTTACACAAAAGCTTTCACCAAATGTTGTCTTGTCAGTTCATCCAGCCATCAGGATCTCCAGCCACCGAGGTAATGAACTTCAGACTCCCCCAGTACTGTCTTCCCTGGCTGCCCGCTGTGGCTCACTACCTCAGGCAGAACCTCCTCATCTTCCTGCATATACCCAAGTACACCGACAGCAACACAGCACACCACTTCAAGGTACAGTTCTGACCCGCTATGGTCAGAACATGGAACATAAGGTGCTGAGTGTAATGTGGATGTGGTATGATAATGTTCCTTTCTGGAAAAGAAAATAATTTTAAAATAATCCTGGATATCAAACTTCCTTTGAGGTGCAGACAAAGGCCAGAAGAAGCTGGTCGACCTTAGAGAACTACTATGTTAAACCATAAGCTCGAGTTCTCACAGTCTCTGAAAAACCCACCCCCTACCCAGTGTGCCTGCCCTGCCACGGCATTAGACACTGCTGTACACTATTTTGTGGGTTCCAAGATTTTTGTGAAGGAAAAGAAAGACGTTCAAATTCTGTAGCATATTTGTTCTCCAGCTATCTAATCACTCATCACAAGAGGATTTGTGATAGCTCAAATCCAAATAATCCCAGAGACTGTTGCTCGGTGTCTTTGCAGAAGTGTAAAGGTCTGGGTAATAAAAAACCAAAATAAACAGTCAATCTGACTTTTCAAAGTCCTCCAACTACTTTGAATGATTTGTTGACTTGTAAAAAATAAGTCATTGCTGCCTGCAAATCAAAAATGCCTCCCTGCACTGAAAGATGACAGTTTGACACATACAAGTGCACTACAAACAGCTCTGTTTAAAGTGATCTGGATTCAAAATGAATAAATACAGGATATACAGGCTTCCAGCTCTGCAAAACTGTGGCAGAGACTAAAATCATTTTGACAAGTCTCATTGTGATGATGTATGAAATAAATGCTGACTGGAGTGTTTTGAGCTTCCAGGGGCTGATTTGCTCCCCTGTTCTGTCTGCAGCACTACTTCCATATGAGCAGCGACTTGGCTGACGGTGATCTCTACCTCTACAATAAACCTGGAGGCCAGGGGACGGGAGGCAAAGGTATCCCAGCGTGCCATCAGTGCTACCAGCCCTCTGTGTGTGTGTGTGTGTGTGTGTGTGTGTGTGTGTGTGTGTGTGTGTGTGTGTAATTTTTATTTATTTTTTTACAAATACAGACATCACCACAGTGACTCAATCTTCTGTTACTGTGGTGCCCTGAGAATATGATCACCCTGATTATTAGGTGACAACCCCAACTCCCTTTGCCGTACCTGCTTTTCCTGAAGATAAGAAACACTGGTCGAAGGTTCTTTGTCCATGTTAGTGCTGAAAGGATTAATCAGTTAGTCAGCTATTTTGATAATCAATTAATTTCTCTATAATGAAGCCCAAACACTTACTGGTTATGAGTATTGGCTACTTATTTTTCTGTTTTAAATGTAAATGCTCCTTGTAATTTCTTACAAGATCTTGTAATTTTTTGTAGTTTGATCAGTTTATTAGCAAATGAAACAGTCAATACTGATTATAACGATGTCAGTTGCAGCATCAGTCCATGTTGTCATTGTTTTGATTGTTTTGTACATGTGGAAACATCCTTTTCCACTGCAGGAACTAAGGATCTGACCCTAACAAGCTGCACACTGTTATTTCCAATTACTAGTTTCTGCTGTTTTTGGTCAGCAGACTGTGACATTTTGGATGTATGCCGTCGAAAAGGCAGAAGTAGTGCCAGCTATGTTGTTTATATGCTGTTTGAAAGGAAAATTATTATTGAAGGACGTAGGGATGGACACCAAAGAGAATCCAGGGTACTGCTGGGACCACTGTTATGTCAAAGTCTACTTCCCCTTTAAGTGTTTCCCCTCACCTTGACGTGAATCCAAACTCAACCCTAAAGGGCAAACAGAGGTCAACTCTCAAGATACGCCAGTCAGAGTTGAAACGTGTCAATTCTCCAGAAATGCTGCAGTTTGACCACATTCACTAATTCTTGTCTGTATCAGGCGGCCCTAAAGTGGGTGACTTCGACACAAGTTGTCCTAAGCCCAAAAGCATGTTGAACCATTTCATCGTTTTTCATCTGTTGAACATTTTCCTTCCCTGCAGCGTTTGGCTGTTGTATGCTCATTTCTGCCAGACACTGAGATGTAGTCTTCTTTCTAAATGACTGACTCCTGCTCCTTCTGAATGGGCCCCTCTCAGCAATCGCTAATGAGGAGTGGACATGTATTAGTTGCCCATGTTGATACAGATACAGTAGAGGATTGGCGGTTCTGTTGTTGTGCTTCTTGTTGTGACAACACATCTTTTTGACCAATCACGATCAGCAGAACTGACGACAACCCCTGAAAGTACCTGGAACTTGCTTCTGATTCAGTCAGAATCAGAACTCGGGACGATGGAGTTATGTTTTGTTAGGTTCCCGCAATAGAAAAGGGCTTGAAGTATTCATGTGTGAAACTATTAATCAGGACGGGAAATGGGTCACACGAGGCAGGTGTTTAAAACATTAATACTCAACAGATACCTGGATACTTTCTCTTTCTTTTCTCTAGTGTTTCTTTTATCCTAAACCTTTTCTGAACTGATACTTCATCAATTCACAACAGAGATCAGGTTCGCCTTGTTTAGTAGGAGCAAATCATTTATTGAAAAATGTGCCATAACCTCAGGTTCTGGCTTTGTTGTAGAGTTTTTCATTGGCTCCTCTCTCCTATTGTTGAGCTGCTGATTTGAAGGCAGAATGTAATCACAAGACATGCTGACAGTTTCTTTTCCTATTTAGACTACACATTACATTCAGAAAAGGTTTTCCTCTGCCTGTCTAGCATAATAAAACTGCTACACTCTTCTTCTCTTCACTATCCACACCATGCTAATTTCTTTGATGAGCATCAGCACAATAATTTTACTGAGGATGCTTTTTCTTTGTCCTTCTCCTCCCTGTTCACCAGACGTCATGCTTACTGTAGGCTTCTAACCTTCACACATTTCTCTAGCAGTTAATATTTTATACCTTTTTTGTTCCACTCACAGTTGTCGGGCATGTGTTTGCATTTAGATTGCCTGCCTGCCTGCCTGTTTGCAGGAAAGCATCTCAGCTGCCTTGTTCATTATATGTCATTTATCAATTTGCTTGTGTCGTCTAGTGGCATTTGAAGTCAGTTAAAGGGGAGGGCTGCTGCTGTAGTTAGCTCTGTGACTGAAAGCTTTCCCTGTTCAATGAAAAGTGAATAAATAACTCATTATTAACCTTCAACAGCTCCCACCAAAGGAATACTAATTATGGTTGTAAATGATTACAGAATTAAAACCCTCATTTATAATTACTGATATGTGTATAATATGCTACCTTGCAATGCCATTTTAACTTAACACTTGGCTCGTAAAGGGGGGTATTATTATTATTATTATTTTATTCCATCTTGGCTTAATTAATGTAGTCGAAGTTGCAGGCATGATCACTCAATCATGACTGGACCAAAATAGTCAAGTGACACACGAAAAAATTGGTCTAAGGTGTAATATTTACAAAATATAGGCCTATAGCTTGCACTTCCTTTAAATACAGTGATTTCTACATATACTTAGGCAGGCCGGCCAGGTGTATTAGCATATTTGGCAACCAACTTTAGCATTTTGCAGAGAGAGAAAGATGTTATTTGATATAACATTAAGCGGACATGATAGATGATAGAAATTTTACATTATGGAGCGACTGTGAACGCACCACTGCAGATGTCAATCAGTAACGTTAGTTTCGGTTTCTGTCCACAGGAGGCGCACTTGAAAACTGAATCACGGATCAGTTTAGTGAACTCGAACTGCAAGCAGTTGTAAGAGCCCAAACGTGTTTACCTTGCTTATAGCGCCACCTAGTGTGAAGTGCAGTGCTCTACGGTGCGACCATTTTGCTCGCATATGCCCCTAAAAATCGATACGTGCGAACCGGAAAATGAATTACCAGCACAATGTGCGAGTATTTACAACCTACCATAGTCCCCCCCCCCCCCCAGCAGCAGTGTACCGCGCCGCTAATCGTTGAAAACACCCCCGCCCCGAGTAGCGGGCAGGATGCGAAGAAAAGCGAAACTCTGGCAGAAAAAAGGCCAGCTACCGGAGAACCGGGAGAAATCCGGGCGGGCGGGTCGCTGTGAGCAGTTCCTTACAAAACAAAGACAGAGATACAGCAGCTGGAGCAGCAATTGTTCTTGCGCAAGGATTTAATGAACGAATTAATGAAACTGCTGTTTTGTCCAGCTGGAATTAATATTATAGCCTACTAGTGGTGAACTATATGGTATACTATTACATAAAATGACAATGCATATAGTGAAATTTAACTTTTTATCTAATGTCATAATAATATAAATATTAATACATTCATTTAAACTAGTTTCTCCTAGTTGTGTGAAAGAGCCTGTTCAATGGAAAGATGCGGATTTCCACTGCACAGGATGCCGGCTGTGCCAGTTGCTGAGAGCAACACCTTCCCCTTGTTCAGTTTTACTAAAGTTATTGTAATACTGTTCAGTATTAGGTGTGGCATGGCTTGTGTGGGTGCTGCTGGTATATCATGAATCCGTCCCTGTTTTTTGTGATGAGTGATCAGTGTTTTAAGAAATTTCAAAACATCTGTTTCAATATTTTAAAGCGCTTTAAAGCGTGTTTTAAGGCCAATGCCGAGTATCCAGATAAAAGGATCTTCACTTTCAGTCCTCCAATATGGTGTTCAACCATCTTCTTTATACATCTACGTCTACGATTCCAATGGGGTTCCCAGCCCTGCTGGGCCTAGGAACCGCAATGCCTTGCATTCCTAATAAACACTAAACTAAGGTAGAAAATGACCTAGAATAATCTACTGTCGATACAAATACGATATAGGCCTGCTCCGCTACTGCCCCCACCGGCTGCCGCCGCTGCAGTTGCACTGTCTAATGAGACCTCAGTTCAGGGAGCAGGTGTGTCGCTGTTCTGTCTCTTGGATCCGCGACACGATACCATGGAGTTTTGTGTCGCGATTTCAGTCACTGTTTCAGAACCGTGACAGCCCCATTGAATATTAGATGGTTTTCAGTGTTTGTTTCACAACCAGCTAGCTCTCTGTGGTCAGAGTGTACTGGAGCTCTCTGGAGATTCTCACCTTCAGGCTCTTTTTAAAATGGCTGTAAACATCTAGGATGACATTAAGAGTTTGTTCCTTGCTCCTGTACTTATACCACTTGCTGTATAACTACTTTTTGATTGCTCTGTGAAGAGGCTCTGGCTCCATCTCATTAGTTTTAGCATCCGCAGAACAATGGGCCTACATTATATGATGTTACCTGCTCCCTGCCCCGTATGTGAGATAACTCTGTCAGTGTCAAGCAGTGCAGTGGCCCAGACTCTCAACGGTGTTTCCTGCCAGCGAATTAATGAAGTGGTTTCTATTGACTCCTAGCAGCACTGTACAGTTAAATATGTCTGCTGAATCCCAACAGACTTGGAGTAGATATAGACTGATGATAATACTTCTACTTATACTGTGTGCTTGTGTGTTATAACGAGACGTTTTCATCTCTCTCCAAACTGGTGTGGAGGAAGAGCTCCAATAAGATCAAAGAAGTGAATGAACCTTGATGAGAAGATGGGGCGATGTCTTCCAGTGTAGCGGTTGTAGGGTTAGGCTACATACGAACTATAATTCTCAGTTACAGCAGCAAGCTTTAAATACAGATAAAACCACAGCTAGTCATCTCTTCAGTTAAAAACCAAGAAAAGATTGTCTTTGGAGATAAATCAGAAATGCTCCTTTACTCTCTCTAAGCCTCTGAGTGGACGTGTCTGTGTCCTTGTTTGATTGACAGCTGAGAGAGACGATGTTGATTGACAGCTGAGAGAGACGACGTGAACACACATGCAGTGCAGCTTACAAGCTTAAGATAGACATTTGGCAGTAGTGTTGAGGAATAGCAGCCACATCATTAAGCATCTAAGCTCACTGATGTTGACATTTGAAGTTAAGTTTTCAAGTTCAGTGTGCTGCAGCTGAATAGCTAATTATGATCTAGCCT